ACACATTTTTGCTGCTATATATATATATATTTGTACGGATTTTGATGGAGCTTTGGAATCCAGTACAAAAGAGGATTGGACTTGTCTTCAGGGTTTAGAGTCAAATAAAACAATGATAGTACTGATGCATAGTTTTGGCAGATTTCTTCCTCAGTTAACATACCGTCTAGATGTGGCATTATGTGATATATCACTTATACCAAGGTCTTTGATAAACTAATTAATGTAGTGGTGCTTACATTTACAGTAAACTACGGTTAAAACGAACTGAAAGGGACCACTAATTTTTTTTTAGTTAGTAATAACCATAGTTCGTTATAAGCATATATACAGCATATAACAAACAAATGGCCGGGACTAAAAAATAAGTTCGTTATATCGGTCAGTTCGTTATAAGCGTGTTCGTTATAACGTAATGGTATGTTATTTGAGGCTAGATCAGTGGGAACAACAACAACCATTTCATGAATGTTTGTTTGTTGTTTAACGCAAAACTCAGCAATTCTCCAGCTATATGACGGCGGTCTATAAATAATCGTGTCTGGAAAGACAATCCAGTGATTGACATCATGAGCATCAATCTACGCAAATGAAATACGTTGACATGCATCAACCAAGTCAGCGAGTCTGACCACCCGATCCCGTCGGTTCCCTTTTACGGCAAAAATAGGTTGCTGAAGAACTTTTCCATATGCATGACACTACAGATCTGTACCAGATATAATAATGAACTTGTGCATGTATATATATTGTATTTCGTATTCACCATAACTATTCATCACAAAGATTTAATAGGGCTTGAATCTGGTGAAGCTGGAAAACGATATTACTTTCATTCTGAGCACGACACGTGTAACACGTGTTTTTTTTTTAAATCAGTGCGCCGCATACAGCCCAATGTGAAACGGTTGGTCGCAAAGTCAAAGCAAAATCGGAGTATTGTGTAGGCGAATTTGCATCAAGGTTGTAGTATTTTTCAACCGTTTAATGGAATTCAATGTACAGCCGTAGCTCTGGTCACTCATATATTTTATGTCCCATGGCTCAAATCTATTTGCGTCTGTACCGTGTTCCACTGACCTTGATAATCTGTTGGATGAAGGCACAGCTCTCTACAGTCACATAGTTAACACCGAAGGCTATGAGGAGTATTTAGGTCATAATCAGCTCCTAGCAGCCACTGCCTCAAGCGATATTGTCTACATAACAGATCAGTTTTATGGCTCCGTCACAGGTGCTCCAAATATTTAAGCAGGGAAAACAAATTTCATAGAATCATTTCAACAATCAATATTACTTTTGGTAACTTTTAATGATGTCTCCATTGCAATTTTTACGGATTTTGATTCGTATGCATTATTTGACTCTCATCAACGGAATGGTTTGGGTCAGATTGATCCGAATGGACAAGCGGTTTTACTTCTGTTTAGAAGTATGGCTGAATTGTTATGTTACATCTTAACAGTATATCAGGCAACTATGCTTGTCGTAAGAGGCGACAAACGGGATCGGGTGGTCAGGCTTTGGTTGATGCATGGCATCGACTCCAATTGCGACGATCGATGCTCATGATATTAAGCACTTAGTTGTCTTGTCTAGACTCGATTATTTACAGAACGCCGCCATATAGCTGGAATATTGCTGAGCGCGGCGTTAAACAACAAACAAACAAACAAAGATAAGGTCTTAGGGGTAAGAAATTTCATTTTCAAAAAGTGTCTGAAATGTCACCAAAATATTGTCAGACACACTACAAGTTCATTGTCGACACAGTTGCCTTCAATGGCGTGTATGACCCCCAGCTGCATCAATGCATGCTGTGATACGCCGCCTCTTGATGACGTGGACTTGAATCTGTTGCCACTCGTCTCTCAGGGCCTGCTGCAATTCTTGTCTGTTGACGGGAGGCTGATGGCGTGCTCTAATCTGTCTGTCAAGACGGTCCCACAGATGGTCAATAGGATTCATATCCTATTCATATTCATATTCAGTGGGCAGGCCAGGGCAAAACGTCAACGTTCTGCTGGTTTAGAAAGTCCCGAGTCAGTCTTGCAGTATGGGGCCTGGCATTGACGTGTTGAAACAATGTCCCCTGCTGTTGGTTTTGTAAGAACGGAAGCACAACTGGCTGCAACACTTGGTCTCTGTACTGCACAGCATTCAGGTTTCCCTGTAAAATCACCAAATCACTCTTCTGTTTTCCACAAATACCGCCCCACACCATGACACCTCTCCCGCCGAATGGATTGACCTCTCGAATACACGCCGGAACCAAACGTTCCCCTCTGCGTCGATAAGCTCGTTCTCTGCCGTCATTTCGAAACAAGTTAAGCCGATTTTTATCAGTAAACAGCACTTGACGCCAATCTCTCACTTGCCAGCGTCGAACCTGCTTCGCCCATGGCAGTCTCAGGCGTCGATGTTGAGCAGTCAGTACTATTCCTCGGAAAGGACGATACGGTCGGATTCCAGCAGCACGAAGTCGTCGTAGTATCGTACGTTAGCTAATGGGATGTCCCAACGCTGTTGCTGCCGTCGCCGTTACGAATCTGTTTCGCAGGTTAAATGAGCCGTATCTGACCGTCTTCCAGTGGTGTTGTCACTCGGGGTCGTCCGGTTCAAGGCCTGTCCTGTGTCCTCCCTGTCTGCCTGTGCCGTGGAATCAGCCTGGCTACTGTCAGTGGTGTACAACCAAACCTTCTGGGAATTTGGGGGGGGGGAGGGGGGGGGGGGGGGGCACGGGTGGCCCAGTCGTCTATGGCGCCGCGGTTCGTTGTGCAGAGTTGCGTCCCTTGGGCACGCCAGAAACCTATGATTGTGGGTTCGAATCCCGGTTCTCCCCGATTGTGTCTCTAGGTTTGTCAGCACCATACCCGTGCTCGTGGGTTTCACCGAAGTGGTTAACGTCTGAAACCTGCATCACTTCGGGCTTACCTCCCACATTAAGCGCTGACATGCCGCGATATGACTGGAATACTGTTAAAAGCGGCGTTAAACCCAACTCACTCACTCACTCTGGCAATTTGGACCTGTGTTGCCCCCATTTCGGCCATACCGATGGCTCTCTTTCTCTGCTCCTGTGACAGTCGTGGCATTTCTTTTGTGTGGTTGTACCCTGCACACGAACGCATTGATACAGCTAACATGTACGTGCAGTTTATGCCATAGGCGGAAAACCCGTTTCACCATTTTTTTGTCACCGCACGAGCGCCGTCAAAGGTGGCGCGTTCGGGTGAGGTTTTTTTTTGGTACCCGTTCCTGGGCAGTCATATTCCCAATACCCACTTTCCACTTGTTATCGCTGTTTTTAGGAAAATTACAAATTGCCAACCTATACTTTCTTTTGTCGCTTGATTTATGTGTGTCTTTACTATAACTGTGCTCATGGCTTTCACCAAAGTGGTATACGTAGGAGGAAAGCCCGAATTTATACAGATCTTTGACTGCTTAGGAGGTGAAAAACCAAGCATAATAACCCAACGATCATAGTTGGTTGGCTGGTTGGTTGTTGTACGCCGCACTCAGCAATTTTCAAGCTATATGACGGCGGTCGTAAATAATCGAGTCTGGACCAAACAATCCTGTTCTATATGTCCTGCTTCAACTTGGTTGGTTGGTTGGTTTGTTGTTTAACGCAGCACTCAGCAATATTCCAGCTATATGACGGCGTCGTGTAAATAATCGAGTCTGGACCATCAGACAATCCAGTGACTGACATCATGAGCATAGATCCACGCAGTCAACCAAGTCAGCGAGCCTGACCAGCCGATCACGTTAGTCGCCTTTTGTGGCAAGCATGGGTTGCTGAAGACCTATTCTACCCCGGATCTTCACGGGTCCTATATTCTGCAATAAGTCAAATCGAATTAAAGCCGGCTTCAGGTTTTGGTTTAAAGTGTGCATCTATCAAGTCAGAAAGTCAATGATGTACAAATACGTATAATAATTCTTTTTGACCGCAGTTTTACCATGTCTTGACCCTGTCAATTCTTTTGAAGTTTGCAATTGATAAATACGTTTTGTCACGCCATAAGTTGATAATACAGAGAAGTAAGAACCTGTCGCGATATAGTAGGAGTATTCCTGACTGTTACGTTAAACAATAGACAACAAATATCATGTACTTGTAGGGCTATATGACCACACACGGTCCAGAATAACAAGTCTATGACAGTGGGAATGACCTAAGATGACATGATATTATTTCCATTGATAAAATACAGATGGGATTCCTATGTTTTAGTCGGAAGAGGTGATTAAAAAGTTTTGGTATTTTGACACAGTTCATTTTGTGTCATCCTACTCCGAATCTGTTGGGCGTTGATGATAATATGGTTTGTTTGTTTGCCACACTCCGCAATGTTCCAGCTATATAAGGGCGGTCTGTAAATAATCGAGTCTGGACTAGACAATACAGTGATTGACATGAGCATCGATCTACGCAAACGAGAAACGACGACATGCATGAAACAAGTCAGCGAGCGTGACCACCCAATCCCGTTAGTCGCCTCTTACGACAGGCATGGGTCGCCGAAGACCAATTCTAACCTGGATCTTCACGGGCATGTTCATAATAACAATAACAATCACTGGTTGTTCTGGTTTACACTTAATTACAGGCCACCGTGATATAACTGGAATATTGTTGAATACACCGGTGCAAAATATTAAATATGTTATCGTGTGTATATGCACTCGGCAATATTCCACTTACATGAGAGCCTACCCGTGAAGATCCGGGGTAGAACAGGTCTTCAGCAACCCATACTTGGCGTAAAAGGCGACCATGCTTGTTGTAAGAGGCGACTAACGGGATCGGGTGGTCAGGCTCGCTGACTTGGTTGACCAATGCCATCGATCTCAGTTGCGTGGATCGATGCTTATGTCAATCACTGGATTGGCTGGTCCAGTCTCGATTATTTTACAGACCGCCGTCATATAGCTGGAATATTGCCGAGTTTTGCGTTAAACAACAAACCAACTAACCTCCGACAGCACGTGGTATTCCAGATTTACCATTGTCAGTCAGACTCGTTGTGAGAAGACGCATATTGTTTTCGTGGAACCAATCTTTATCAGTTAATTATTTACTATTCACTTTTGCAGGTTGACCACAGTGACAATGTCGAATTTCGAGCAAGAACATAACGAGATCTGTCAATACGACTATGTGCGGCTTGCCCTCTGTGATCTGAATGGCATGAGTCGTGGTCAAGTGATAGCTGGTCGCTATGCCGCCGAATACATGGACGCGGGGTTGGATATGTGCCAAGGTAAGTGCTTAAGCTTAAGCTTGGATTTAATGTCTAAAATATAATATGTAAGCCATATAGTGCCGGGAGCACATTAAACATTCATTACAAATATATACAGTAACCTCTATAAGAACACACTTTGTCATCGCTAATGGTCATACTTCTACAAAAACACACTATGTCATTGCTAATGAACATATTCCTACAATAACACACTATGTCATCGCTAATGGTCATAATTCTACACGATCACACTTTCTCATCGCTAATGGTCATACTTCTACAAGAACACACTATGTCATCACTGATGGTCATACTTCTACGAGAACACACTTTGTCATAGCTAATGGTCTTCTTCTACAAGAACACACTATGTCATCGCTAATGGTCAAACCTCCAGAAGAACGCACTATGTCATCGGTAATGGTCTTCGTCAAATAGAACACACTATGTCATAGCTAATGGTCATACTTCTACGAGAACACACTATGTCATAGCTAATGGTCTTCTTCTACAAGAACACACTATGTCATCGCTAATGGTCAAACCTCCAGAAGAACGCACTATGTCATCGGTGATGGTCTTCGTCAAATAGAACACACTATGTCATAGCTAATGGTCATACTTCTACGAGAACACACTATGTCGTCACTAATGGTCTTCTTCTACAAGAACACACTTTGTCATCGCTAATGGTCACACCTCTATAAGAACACACTATGTCGTCACTAATGGCCTTCTTCTACACGACTACACTATGTCATCGCTTATGGTCATACTTCTACAAAAATACACTATGTCATCGCTAATTGTCATACTTCTACAAGAACACACTATGTCATCGCTAATGGTCATACTTCTACAAAAACACACTATGTCATCGCTAATGGTTACACCTCTACAAGAACACACCGTGTCATCGCTAATGGTCATACTTCTACAAGAACACACTTTCTCATCGCTTATGGTCACACCTCTATAAGAAAACACTTTGTCATCGCTAATGCTCATACTTCTACAAAAACATACTATGTCATCGCTAATTGTCATACTTCTACAAGAACACACTTTGTCATCGCTAATGGCTACACCTCTACAAAAACACACCGTGGCATCGCTAATGGTCATACTTCTAAAAGAACACACTATGTCATCGCTAATTGTCATACTTCTAGAAGAACACACTATGTCATCGCTAATGGTCATACTTTTACAAAAACACACTATGTCATCGCTTATTGTCATACTTTTACAAAAACACACTATGTCATCGCTAATAGTCACATTTCTAGAAGAACACACTATGTCATCGCTAATGGTTACACCTCTACAAATACACACCGTGTCATAGCTAATGGTCATACTTCTACAAATACACACCGTGTCATAGCTAATGGTCATACTTCTACAAGAACACACTTTGTCATCGCTTATGGTCACACCTCTATAAGAATACACTTTGTCATCGCTAATGGTCAAACTTCTACAAGAACACACTTTGTCATCGCTAATGGTCACACCTGTATAAGAATACACTTTATCATCGCTAATAGTCACATTTCTGAAAGAACACAATATCATCGCTAATGGTTACACCTCTACAAGAACACACCGTGTCATCGCTAATGGTCATACTTCTACAAGAACACACTTTGTCATCGCTAATGGTCACACCTCTATAAGAACACACTATGTCCTTGCTAATGGTCATACTTCTACAAGAAGACACCATGTCAACGCTAATGGTCATACTTCTACAAGAAGACACTTTGTCATCGCTTATGGTCACACCTCTACAAGAACACACTATGTCATCGCTAATGGTCATACTTCTAGAAGAACACACTATGTCATCGCTAATTGTCATACTTTTACAAGAACACACCATGTCATCGCTAATGGTCATACTTCTACAAGAACACACCATGTCATCGCTAATGGTCATACTTCTTTACGATCACACTGTGTCATCGCTGATGGTCTCCTTCTACAAGAACACACTATGTCATCGCTAATGGTCACACCTCTACAGGAACACACTATGTCATCGCTAATGGTCACACCTCTACAAGAACACACTATGTCATCGCTAATGGTCATACTTCTACAAGAACACACTATGTCATCGGTAATTGTCATACTTCTAGAAGAACACACTTTGTCATCGCTAATGGTCATACATCTACGAGTGAGTGAGTGACTTTCGGTTTTCGCCGCCTTTAACAATATTCCAATAAAATGTATATTTTAATCTAAGCGGGTTGGTTTTAACAACGTGTTTTAACAGTAATCCAATTCCAGAACGGAATTACTGTTGCTGGAAAGATGGAAGTGATGTAGATCTGAGTGTGTCGCCAATCTAGAAACATAATCGTGACGAATTGGACTCGAACCCACTATTAAGGGCCGATATGTTAGTCATCATCAGAGGTGTCAAGAAGGATGTCTCTTACTCTGGCAACACTTTTCTTTGCTTGAACGTCCCTGTCTGTAAAAAGAAAATATAATACAGATGGAGCTAAACGTTACATTACGTGAGAACTGCACATCATACCCTCAAAGTATCTTATGCTTTAAATATCGTTTATTTTTAAGAGATAAATCATTGTTAATTTTAACCGTCACCCCAACCCTTTAAGAAATATAAGAACCAGGAGGCAAATGCCAGTTGCAAAACATTTTCACAGTTATGGAAAACACTGTTATGTTGAAACATTTTAAGATACTTCTTTGCATTGCCACAATACTTATACAGAAGTTTTGGCATGTCGAAAAATTGTTTTAAGAATATAAACCATGAACTGTGGAATAAAAATTAGCCTTACTGAAGATTTGCTTTTAACGACATGTAAGTAAAAAGAAAATTTTGCGATTCATAACAAAAAACTAAATAGACTTAGTATGACTAATGAGGAACGACCTAATCAGACATGTGATATTTCCCTTATTTAATACACGTTGTCAAAATTATGTTTTCTAAGACAATTTTAATGACAGAAATTGTCATTGGATCTATATGAGATTTTTTGTATGAAAAAGAGCACAAAGCTACGAAATTCCCATTGAAGAGTAGTGACAATTCCAATACCTGGGTTTATTTTAAATCTAAAATATTAAAATATTAAAGTATTAAATATCAAATATTAATTGACACAGTGAAAATTAGGATAGTTTAATACTAGAGTGAGTTGGTTTTAACGCCGCTTTTTACAGTATTCCAGTTATATCGCGACGTGTCAGTTTAATGTTGGAGGAAAGCCTGAAGTGATGCAGTTTACCACTTCGGTGAAACCCACGAGCACGGGTATGGTGCTGACAACCAAGAAACATAACGGGGCGAACCGGGATTCGAACCCACAATCATAGGTTTCTGGCGTGCCCAAGGGACGCAACTCTGCACAGCGAATTGCGGCGCCCTAGACGACTGGACCACCCGTGCCTCCCTTTAATACTAGACATCATAAATTGTATCATAAGGAACAGACGTATAGAACTCTTACAGGTGTAAGAAAAAAGAATGAAACAATATTGTGCTTGTGTTAAGCTTGCAATAAAACTATTTCACAGTCAGTTGTTGAGGTAAACAATTAAACAAAAATAACCTACAGAAAACCATCCAATACGAAAACTTGCTTATCCCTGAAAGTCCAGGGAGAAAGTAAATCGTAAAATGATAGCAGAATTTAGTTTCAAAAGATGACATCATGTTGTGTTTTTCCTCTCTTAATGATTCTTGAGGTTGGTATATCATGCAGTGAAGTTGTTGCATTTAGCTTTGGTTACATGGGGAAGAGTAATATTTAAAAAGATGTAACAAACTTTATTAAACAAACTTTTAAAAGAAACCTTATTTTTATCTCTTACATGTATAATGATACGTGTACATGCGAAATACATAAATAATTATGAAAACATTTTTAAAACATTCCAAACTGTGAGTTATTACACTAAACAAGTTTGTGTTAGTCGGCCATAATGATCGAAGGAGCCAAATTGATACGAGTGCTTACGTTCGATTTGAAAACCCGGGACGACCCAGGTGAACCCGTGTTGACCAAGGTATGACCCAAGTTAACCTTGGTTGGCCAATATTAGGTCATGTCAACGTATTTACGTCACACTGCGGTTGACCTTGGTTGCCAATACCTACTGAACCCATGGGGTGCGGGACTTTGGTTTGTTGCCTCCCAAGTGGCCGGTAAAGATATTAGTTTCATTTGTTGATTCAATCACGAAAAGAAGCATTTTAATTAATATAATTAACTATGTATTGATCATGTATCTTGTATCTTGTATTTTGTTCATTGTATAATATTTCGAACCATGAAATAATTACTCTGCAAAACACAATTATGAAAACATATTAATAACTTTACCACTGTAGAAACATTTTTATGCCATTTCGTCTACCCATTGTGTCTCTGCCAAAATTATGTGTTTAATTCAGGACATATGATGGGAAACAAAATAGTTTTTATGCCATTCCGTTCCGTAAAATTTTTAAACAATTATACAAATAAAGAACATGGTGTCGTGCAATAAACATATTCTTCGACTGATTTTATAAAACAAAAAATATATTTAATATTTTCTTGTATGAATTTAGAAGCAGCTCAAATCAAAGGGAAACCACTCTTATGATAAAAATTTAGGGAGGAGTGTTTAATTATTAATTTGTGATTGTTTAAAGCCCAAAACACACTGAAAATACAAATGAATATCCTAGCAAAACTGGTTAGAGTATTTATTACCTTGGCCGTGTATAAACATTGCGAAACATATGGACAGTTGTAAAATGGTCATTTTAGAATTAAAGTCAAAGGATGTAGACAAACTCAAATTTAGACATGGATTTTTCATAACGAGTGAAATAACATGATCCAGTATGACCTTTTGCCTTGATATAGCAGCATCCGTGTATGATTCCTAATTTCACATAGATTCCGGGGCGTCCGGAATCTAGTTACACAGTTATGTTGTAATTTATATGCATAAGTGATGCTATGAACATGATAAAA